CAAGGTGAGCCGAGAACTTCTTAGCCCAATGCATCCGTCTTCACTCTACCAGAGTACTCATCTCTTGGTTTCTGGTGGAACTAAGTCATGGATATCTTCCAACCAGCATTTCCTTCGAAGCAAAAAGTCGAGTGACGTTATTTTCTCTATGGCCATACCTTTGTATTGGAGTCGATTTTTGGTAAAACCTTGGCAAGACCTACCTCGTTCGTTATCACCAAATGGTCCTAATGAGACCATTTCCTGTGCGCTCATGTCTTCTGGCCTCTTGGCCGGCTGATGTTGTGTCCTGTGTTTTCGTTGTCTCTCCTCACCTGCGGGACGTAGGGCCTCAGTCATGCGTCTAATTTGGCGGATTCGATGCGGAGCGATCAGGTTCAGATTCAGGCCCAGCCGTGCAAGCTGTAGCAGACGCTGGCAGAGCAGCCGATCGAGAGGTGACAACCGGCCAGTGGTTGCTAGGTGATTTGTTTTCGAGGGCGAGCTCGTTTGTAATGTTGTCTCTCGAGCAGGCGATACAGTGTGGCCCTGCGAGGTGGGCAGTCGAGCTGCGGACTTGTGGGTTGGGCTCCGTGAGGCCAAATCGACAATCCGGGATCGGCTCGCAGAGCGAAACAGGTCTGGACTCGGACGACTCAGGGGCTCCATCAGCTGGCACAGGCTGTCCGGCGTGTACGGGACGAGTTCGAGCTTTGGACGAATACGAATGCAGTTAAGAAGAGCGAGAAGTAAAGGGGGATGAGGTAAAATAGGAAATATGAGATGCATATCGAAACTCTACGCAAACACGAAAAGTAAAATAAGATGATTAGATGGGATGAGATAAGGTGATGTGAAATGAAATGAGACGACATAAGTACATCCTTGCGCTACTCTTTATCATCTTTTTTTTTCTATCAATTCATGACACTTGTGGTTTTCCCATTCACCGACAACTTCATTTTTAGCTATTTTCTTTCAGGTACTTTAACTTAAATTCAGTCATGCAATGCTTCTTTCTACCTATAACACGCCCATTATTACTATAACAAATATTATTATAATATACAAAGGTGTGAGATGAATATATATATATATATATATCAATAGTTAGTATCAACAGCTGCGGAATATCTCTATATTTACGATTTTTA